ATTCCGCCATTTCTCACGGAATGACGCATGCATGTTGGTTATTTATGAATTATTTGTTTTGTTTTGTTGTGTGAAATTTTAAGTATCACTAACACTAGTCTTTATGAACATTGTTACTAACAATTTGGACACAGTGGTCTGAAATAAAGTATTTATTATAAATCACCCACTGACATTTTGGTGCTTCAGTGATCTCTAAGTGACATTATGTCAGCATTATTTTCAACGTCCTTGCCAAAAAAAAATTGAATTCACAAAAGATTAAGATTAAGATTACTGTCCATTTGTTGACGCAAAAATGTTGGTCTCGATACCATGCCAATTGTGATTTAAGTTTCCACAGCACGTAGGAAAATATGGTCGTTACACATTCACGATCACGTCGATAAACCACAAGTATTTGATTTGAAAGTAGCTTTTCTTACAGTCTGTACACAATATTCTGTGTCCTGTTGGCTGGATATGAGCTTTTATTACGTATGAATTTATAACTGTATGTATCAGGCCTATACAGCTTGAGGTTATTAATAGAATATAATACTTTACCAAAGTTTATCAAATATCTATCCATGTATACTTACATGGCTAGTGTGCGTAAAAACAAACAATTAACAAACAATTAACCAGAGTGTCACAGTATTTTCATCACGAATGAATAATTGGTTTTGTGTGACCAACAAGCAATAAAAAGAAAAGCCTGTCAAGTATCACCTGTGCTCATGACTGATAACAAGCGTAACTGAACACTTGCGTATCGAACACATATCGCGGTGACGTATTGATTAGGTGATTCGCTAAAGAGCAGCGTGGGCTCAAGGTTACGCCACGCAACACTTTCACCGGAGCCCGCAGTTCATTGCTCTCCGAATTCAGCGCCTCCGTACTCCCAGCCAAAGTCAGTATCAATGGTCATCCGCTCGAACCTTGTACCTTGGAACTAACCCAATAAACTCAAGCGAAATAACACTCAAATCTCATCGCAATAGCAACCATTTCCAAACCGAGCAGAGCACCTCCAAGATGCTATCCGTTGACGTTTACGTTCAATGCCCGTGTTAATGGTACCGAGAAACGTAACGTGGCCCACTTTCTCTTTTAAGCACACGTTGTCTCTTTCTTCATTTCTTATTGTGAGGGTCCAAAGAGTGAGATGGTGGTATTTAAGATGTTTCGTTGGAGAAGCTGGGCTCGCTTTCTTCGCCGCACTTGGCATTGGAGGTGTACAAAATCCGGTAACTTTCGTTGGCGGCGCGGCGTGCGATTGTGTAGATCTGTGGGGTGCATTAGTGCCGGTCGGGCTCTCGGGCCTCGGCGCTACGATACAATTAGCCGGTCTTTCATGGTTACGTAACGATTATTTTATCAGTGCGGTAACAGAGAGTATTTGTTAGTCTACTATTAAATAAATAATTCATTGACTTAATTGATACATAAGTCTAAAAGTAAATGGGAAGTAATTGACATAGTGATTTATATCGGCTGATTACTAGGTGATTTTAATTGTCCATAAATGTGAAGATATGGTATACATAATAATATGTATTTATTTATAATGTATCCCCATTTTCTATTATTATTTTGTAACTACATTATTATAAGATCATGTGACGACTCAGCGGAACCTAAAAGTGTCGCTCGAGAAAGAAAAACTATATAGTTTTAGAGATATAACCATATAACATCTACAAATATACCTGATGAAAGTTTCAATTTGTGATAAAACTTTTCAGTTTAATAAGGCTTTTAGGCTTAAACTTAACGCATTATAAATACAAAGCTTGGAGGTTATATAAGCCTAAATGTACGTACCTAATGCTACACAATGTCGCCATTATATTCACATTAGTTACATTCGGCTTTGTAAAAATGCCTCGCGACCTGGATCAGTGTTACACAATCGACAGTTGTCACAAAATGTTACAGACGTTCTGGTAAAAGTTTATGAATATTTTGTAACATCGCACCGGCACCGTATCGTTGCGTTTGAGAGTCAATTTTCTATGCAGCATTAAAACTACAAAGTTTTCATGTCTCTATGTTGACTTATTAATTGTTTAATTACGTGTCATTTATATGAATTGTGTACTATATTACATATTTCAGTGCATAGACTTTAGTAAGACTTTAGTAACTGTGTCCCGAAGAGAAATATTGATGTTCCCTTAACAATTAACACCACTTTATTCTACAATGTAAACTTTAAATACAAAACATGGTGCAAAGAATGGTTTTTCTATGCCCGCTCAAGATGCTCGCATAAAACAAAGTTTCAGCATAACTAAAACGCATCTCAGCTTGACACAAAACCTGTAAACATTAGTCGTACAGCATGTCGTGTCAATTATGTAGTAAAATTATTGGAATAATCTAAACATGTTTACGTACGTCAAGATGCATTTACAAACGCAATCAAGTGACGATGTAAAGCCGGTAGTACAGCTTCCGTATCTCGAAGAAATTGACCCGGTTTTCTGAGAAAATTGCCTTATTTGCATGAACCTGACGCTGGTTGTTAAAAAAGTATATCAGCGTCCGCCAGCTTGCTACAAGCCACACAATGTAAATGATCCACGTCTACCGACGATCCGTGATTAATGATTTTTATGAAAGGCAATTAAACTATTGTCAGTTAGTTAAAACATCAACAAACCTACTTGACTTCCCTACGGCGTGGTGCTGCTCTCAAAATGTCAGCGTAATAAATTAAACAAACTTGTTGGACCGAAGATGCTTTGAAAAGGAAAGTAAGTTGTCGAAAACTAGTTGTGGCGTAGATATATTTACGAGGTTTAAAAGGGATTTCCTCCCAATATTTTGGTTGAAGTCAAACCGGAACCTGAGAGAAACGTGCATTGCACTCGTTCCTAGACTTTTCTCGACAGTTGATACCCGCTATCGCATAACCGCTTCGCTCGTGTGCTCAGTGAAATCTATTAACGTTAGACCATTTTCTGTATGTAAATTTAAATTGGATGAAGGGATAAATTACCTCGTCAACGTCTTTATAATTTCTACTTTCTTTTACAAATTACATTATTAAGAGCCATTTTTAAACACCACTTAATGAAGTATATGTACGTATTTACTTAAATAATGAATTGATGTGAAGACGTTATAAGCTTAAAGATCTATAGTTAATCACAGTGAATTTTAATATTATGTTTATTGGTAACGTTAAATAATAATGCTATACTTTCTTTAAATATTCCATGGATATTTCAAACAATTGGGTATATACTTTTGTCTTTAAAAGCATGAACGATTTAAAATTAAATGAGTGGAATGAAATGGCATAATTTAATTAGGTGTTATTTACATAATCAAATGGGCTCAGTCCAGCTTCTATTTCTCACGCATATCCAGTTTAAAGTGATATGTTAATGAGATTGATGTTGTACCATGTTAAATGCAAATGTCAATCTAAAACATATGGGTGACCCAGTGAGCAACACAAGTCGGTAGCGGTTGTTATCACCAAGGCACTATTTTATCTATGCTAATATATGCGTAAACCCGAAGCGTTTCCACTGAATTATGAAAATATCTACAATTATCTACTGGTTATATTAAGTTCATCTATCTAGCGTATAGTAAAGACATACAGGTTTTTGTAAAACCTAAAAATAGAAATATGTTTGAGCTTTAATTCAGACCGAAGTGCCACGGATTAAAAGCCGTTTACGCGCTTCTTTTAAAAGCTTGCTAAGTGATCTCCATAATAAATACATAGATTCTACACAAATACTATGTAAGTACTCAAACAAAAGAAATTCAAACAATTATAACAATAACGATAATGAACGCAGTGGAATACAAAGGTTTATATCGGTGTGAGTGATCTCCGGCGCAGCCGGAGGCCGGAGCCGGAACAAACAGTGGGAAGGAATGATTTATGTGGTGCGCCTGCGCCACGGTGCGCGGTGCGCGGTGGAAGAGAAAGTTCGAGCACGTTTACAGGCCAAGGACGAGGGCGTCGCTCCCGAACGTTGCGTAACTTCGTGAGATTGTTTATTACACCGGCCGGCGCCCGCGCCGCGTGCCCGCCCCGTCCTTACTTATCGCAGCGTGATCATACGAATGGACGAGTAAACGCTCCAATTTGCTTTTTGGCCCATCATCAAATTGCCCAGGGCTATTGCTTTCACTGCCTCAAAGAATTCCGTGCCCAAATAGTTTCCCAAACTGTCTACTTGTCTAGTAAGAATCTTGTAATAACATGACTTGTCCACATGGCGCTTGAGAAATTTTAATGATTATAATCAGGGTACATTTGGAGGCGTGGGATAGCAATTATTATTATGAGAAAGGTACCATACCTTATCACCATACGTTTGGTTACTAACATCAGAGCATAATGGTTAATATATATTTGTTTTACTGAAATTAAAGATTTGTTTTTGAAACTTGGAGGTATAAAATATTGAACATGTGATTTCCTAGAGACCTGGATTTCTGGCCTTGCGTTCTGAATGATTTTCCTATTCCTAATAGTGTAACATTACGCGTGAAGTGCAATGACAGCACCGACTGGTGGTTGCCACAATGACAATAAGCACGTTTGATAATAAAATGTCAGCTTATGTCCTTATGCACTTTCACTCTCGTTACGGTACACAAAATGTGCTTACAGATGTTACGTAACTGCTCTTATATTCTCGTACTCTCGTACGCTTCATACCTCGTGCTTGCATAGGTAATTACTTATGGTGAAAGTCAATATATTTCGGCGAGAAATGATCGAGCGAACATAAACTATGCATCACTTTCTGCTCTTCATAACGAGCATTGCGCAATCTCAGCCGAATTGAAATCACACTCGAATTTACTAAGTTACGTAACTCGAAAGAGTTTTATTTTGAAAGAAACGTTTCCTTCTGCAGTAAACGGTATTCTTAGGCATTTCTCATTCATAAATATGTATTGGAAGATTAGAAAATTACGTTTTATAGTCGTATGCAATTAGGTATAAAATGTTTTTTACAAAATAAGTAGGTACTTACCAAAATATCTTGGTGACATAAATCAAGGTGTAACACAAGTTAGGAAAGGCTGAAACAAAGAAAAACAAACAATTAATACAACAATGCACATTAACCTACACATATTTACAATAGAGGGTTAATTAACATGCTTAGTATTCTCGTCAAGTGAAATTGTATAATAATTATTTCAATTACGTTTGCTAACAATACGCCTGTCTAGGTTCCTCGTTAAATCACTTCGCCATATTGGTAGCGACCCCATTCCTTCAACTTAGCATTGAAAGCAATACACTGTCATTGCCAACATTCATCGCTACAAAAGTAGTTAAGGGTTCTATTTAAACAATTCCATTTTTGGAACGAGAAATTGATGAGGTACGTAGAAAATGTGTAGATGCCATGTTCTACTATCTACTGCTATGCTACGTCACAAAGAAAACTGTTTATCAAAAATTTAGCCATTATTTCGCTATGGCTTTCTATGAAACAACTGTCCGTCTGGATAGTATGTTTTCTTACTATAAGTATTTTACACTAAACACAAATTGGCATCGTTATTGACGCGATATCGTTGCTTTCTACCTATGGTTTAGGATGTTACATAAACAGAGTTATCGTATCTTTTTCATCTCAAAAGTTTTCGGCCGCCCGCCCCAGGAAACAGCGCAGCCGTGTCTTATAATAGCCCAGTATTGTATCCTATCTATTAAGCTAATCTACTAAGTGAAACTTAAATACTATTGTTAATATTACATGTATGGAAATGAGGGTCAATTTAATATTTTCATAGACATCTGCAACAAGAAATGCCGCCCACGCTAATCTATCATCGCAGAAGAGGTATACTCTGCGATGATAGATTAGCGCACATATCGTTAGTATAATTTTCGACACACACTAGACTTGACCAAGCTATGTAATATGTTACATTCTCTAAGGCTCGACCATTGTTCTTTTATGATGTCATAACAGACAATAATAATTCTATTACCCAAGTGAGTTATCTATGTCGTGCATTGTGTCGCGGTGAAATCGTCCTTGTACAATGTAACTCAGTAGTAGACTAGACAATAACTTAGTATAGCTTCCTGCCGGGACACTTACGTAGCCTCGCTGCTGGCGGAACTACATGAAAGTGAAAGTAAAGCACTCGAACAATTCACTGAAAGCTAATTAAAACAATTGTTTTCTAAAATTAATCTTTTGTTACGTTCATTATCTCAGGATACAAGCGTATCTTCTAGAAAAACTTGTTACGTATACATATCGCACATCTTATTATAGCTCTAGATATTTTTCCAATAATTTATCATTAATACATAACGATCATTGTGCAAAAATCGTACCTTAGAAAATAATGGCATTTTAGAAAATGACTCCCAAGATAAGGCTACTTTTATTGAAGCGATTTCGTTGAACACATAATTGGCACTATCGGCATCGATCTAAATGTATGACTATACGCACGTTACAAATATTACAAGCAGTGTTTGCGACGTAAGCTGTTCTATGTGGAGTGATCGTGGGATGGATGTGGTCTGCAGCTACTCGTAAATACAAGATGAAAGTGGTGAAATCTTTAGACGGCCGCGAGAAATCGCCGCGGTAATAAATAATGCACTAGTTCAGTCTCGCGAGCCCTTACGCGCCGCCCGGCCAACTCGTTCCGACATACTCGTAATTCGACTAGAAATATTGACAGTACCTGTTTAGGTGCAGCCGAATACAGCTGGATACCTTTCTATTCAGATAATTACCGGAAGATTAAGCTATTAGATTAATAGATGCGATAAGTTTTGGTAACGATGATACGTAAGATTTAGAAAATTAATGATGACTCAACTAAAGCAATTGCACTTTGAATTTCACTTTTTTATTTATGTACAAAAAGAAATTTACGTTTTAAGACAAAGTTAATAAGATATTTAAGGTACATTTAGGTATGGGAGTCAGTTTAATTCCCGTCATCAGAAACAATTCAAGGGTACAAAGATTGAAAATATCAAAGCTGGAACTGTGGATAGAACTTAGGAGTTGTTGATTTAGGGATCAACAAGGTTAACGTATAAAATAATATTTATGTAAATCAATAGTAAAAGTAACACTACATAAATATATCTCAGTCTCTGTTATGAGCTGTCATGTTAGTTTAAATCCGATTGTAATCTCTTCATTAATGTCCGATTCAATTAAAGACACGTGAAATGATTTGATGTGTCCGTGACTACTGTCTGACGGTATAAGTGTCGCTGTCCGCGGTCCTTTACATTTGGAGTCGTTCACTTGGAACATGTTAGTGTTTTTTGCCGTTCGAGAAGTTGGACGTCGGGAGTTGTTGGTGGCGCCAGCGCCCGTCAGCGTCCGCGGCGCCTCTCCACCACATCCGTCGCGCCGACCGAACTCATTTGGCGTGACACCAAACCTCACGTCATAATTGGAGCACAATAATTTGATATACTTTCTCCAATCCAACGTTTAAATAATTCATAAAAATTCAAACATTCTACACGCGTATATTCATGCATGAGCTTAATTAATACTTTCAGTTTCTTCTTGAAAATTAAAATACTTAAAAGAACAAAGCGGAACTAGTTTGCAATTTCTATTTTGTAAGTAACAGGCTGACGGTGAAAAGGCAGTGAAAATAGTTACAACATTGTTATATACTCACCAATTAAATATAAAAAGTTTACTCATCCAACGTAACACTTCCGTAACCTACAAAACTTTACTCAGTCGCTATTTATTTATAGTACTTTATTGCTAATCAATTATGTAAACCTTGTAGGTGTAACTAAAACTATTAATTGTTGCTCTATAAATTTGTTTTAATTGATTACTCTGATTATCTGATCAAGATGCCAGTATGGTCTCGTTAACCAGTTTGTTCACATCGATAACTTTGTATTTAGAATCTGCTGCTATCCCGAATGTAAATAAATGTTTAGTATCAAACGGGTATTTCTGAGTGGACCAGTAAGTAGAGCTGTCACTGCAGACGTGAAGGGAAAACTTTCAAGTGTCCCGCCTAATCACTGATACAGTGCATAACAAAAGTGAAATCTGGTGAATTTCCCCGGTGCGCGGGCGTGGGTGCCGCGCGGGGCTGCATAGGGGCGCTATCGCTGCACTCTCGTTATACCAAACATACGGGTCTGGTTTAACTCTGTTTGTTTATTACAAGCGTTACATTGTTAGCCAGTAAATGAGATATAGAGCCACTTTCTAATGATATATCGCGTACTTGTTATGAAACATCGAAATGTTTTCGTTAATTAAATAATTTGCTTCGAAATCGGATCAGAAGCGTACATAATTATGTCCCAGCATGTTACTTGTCAAATTACACCTGCGAATTTAAAATGAATAGCTTTTTAAATGCGAATATCTAAACTAGTATCTGTAGTAACGAGCGTTTAATCGGCGCCTCGGGGCGACACTCGAATCGATCAAAACAATCAGTGGAAAGCTGTTGGTAGCTGTCCAGTGTTCGCATAACCGCATTCCTTGAGAGCCTCATCAGACGACAAAAAGAAAAAAATTACGTCAGCTCGTATCGCGTATGTTTGACGCGTACTAATCATTTTATCGTTGTCTTGAAAAACGTTTATCTTGGACAATTCAATTTGACTTTATTACACACTTGATTTAACGACAGCTAATTAATCATATTATTTCATTCCTTCATGTTCGACAACGCTAGATTAACTTACATAAGTGGTTTTAATAAATTGTTTTATGTGTACAAATGTCGTAGTAATTTTATACCCATATTTAGGTGAAGCATCAGGCTTTTGGTGAACTATTTTAATGCATATAGCTTTTAATAACTACCATTTAAATTCTAGACTGTTAGAATGTTGCAACAAGCGATTGATAGACCGATTATTTCAAGCTAATGTGCGCCAACATCAATAAAACAGAAGTTATGAACCATTTCACGTTAATCTAGCTCAATTTGTTAAGTTCTGAATAGTTTTCACAGTTAGAATTTTGCTTTTAATAACAATATATTGAATAATTGCAAATTCTGATGATTCTAGGTAGGTAACCTGAATACCTATTGAAATAAAAGTAGCAGATGATAGCAACAAATATATGGTTGGCGTGTAGATAATTTGACCCTGTTAGCTCAAACAAGGCCGTGCTGACTTATTTCCCAGGCAAAAGAAAAGAGTTCTACTTGTATGTGTGTTGCTTCGCTGAAACAATACCGGGCTGCTCCCGCGCAGACATCGCTCCTACATAACATACGAGACAAACAACAACATTTTTAACTGACGCATCTTTCGTACACCGAACTTGAAACGCGTAAAAGGTTTGTAATTTTCCTATTTCAAAAAAATTACTTTCATATTATACAAAGTCATGTACGTGAAAATAAATATCATAATTACTTATCTATTATTAATATTTACTTACTATAATTATTGTTTTAATATAAAAGAAAAAAAGGCGATTTATTGTCATGAAAACAGAAAAATACGAGGCACGATTGTCAGTAAACTTGTAATAAGTATAAACAAGTACTTGTTAATTTACGACCCATTTGTTATGATGTATTTACATTGGCAATTAAAATTGTTTATTTGCTACGAAAGAATTTTGAGTCATGATTGAATAATGATCTAATAATTAACTTTATTAACGACGTTATATTTCAAAGCTGAAACTTACGCTGAAACTAAAGTTTTCTATTATCTTATATTTCTTAATCAGATCTCCACCAATAAATAAATTTTGCAAGGGTATAAACACACCAGGAGTGAGATGAAAATCCGATGTAAGTACAGCTTAGTGCAATATTTTTCACCGTTCTCAATCCATGCGTAAGCGCAATTACAAGCAGTTTATGGGTGACAGAGTCGGCGGAACCGGCCTTGCGATAGCTAACCTGCTTCCTATGCAACTTGGAAATAAGTTCCCTTCTACTCTTCCTCGCTGCTCTAGTTTTCTGACCTAAAAGTGCCCTTCAAATATATCTACACCCAGAACAATGTGCTGTATCATTTGTTTGAGTAACATATCGAGTTTTTTATTTGTAGATAGTTCTATATTTGACCAACAAAAGAGTATTGGATATGACGTGCTCCGAAACATGTTCGCACCAATCAACATTCAATCGGTGCGCAACAATAGACACGGAAGGCGGTCAACATTACGCGGCAGTTATTAATAAGGGTATTATTGAAACAGTGATCAGGTGTTGCTGGCTGAGAGGAGCATCGAGGAGTGCCCCTTGCTGCTGACACACTGACTCGCTTTCGCGGCGCGTTACCTCTGCCTGCGCTTGCACATACACTGAGCGAGATGTGCGTCTACGTTCATGTAAGTACTTACATTAGTACATTACATTAGTAACACACGTCTCACACTACTTGTATGACACGCATCTTGCTATTGTAAACATCATTCAATTAAGGTTTATCTATATTTACATTGATACGAATAATATTGTTAAAACTACTGCGTAAAATGTCCGACTTAGTTTTTATCTATACTAATATTATAAAGAGGAAAGATTTGTATTTTTGTATTTTTGTATTTTTGTATTTTTGTATGTTTGTAATGAATAAACTCAAAAACTACTGGACCGATTGCAATAATTTTTTCACCATTAGAAAGCTGCATTATTCAGAAGTAACATAGGCTATATAATATCACGCTAGGTCCTATAGTTGTGGAGCAGTAACCAAAAATGTTTTAAAAACGGGGAAAAGTATCGTTTCTGAGGCCTTCCGTGGCGTGCGCTGAGCATATAGTTAAAGTTATACAAAAATGCTCTATAGATGAAATGTTCATCTTAACTTTATTTTTAAAAAAGTCCGCGAGAGCATATGTCTACCTTTTATAGTTTACCCATAACAATCGTTTTAATGAATGGTTTAATCCTTATAAAAGTTTGCTCTAGATAACTTTTGAATTGTTCAATCGGTTACCTTAAGACTATTAATTCATCCAAAAGATACCTATTAGGTAAGTACTTACCTACTATTTCAAAAATAATAAACTGAGAATAAATATAAATAAAACGTAAAACTATGTAAAAAATCTTAAGTCCCCCCGTGCGAAGCCGGGACGGGCCGCTAGTAATTTATAAAGGTTGCACCGTATATTCCCGATGCAGTCGTAACTAACTTGTTTTTTACTTTGTTTCACCAATAAATCGCTTATGTATTATAATAAATATACAGCCTTGGGCCCTCTCAACATGAAGAAAGTTGGTATTCAAAAATTACATGTGCCAGATGGATATTTAATCCTTACTAATATTATAAATCGGAAAGTGAGTTTATTTGTTTGTTCCGCTTTCACGCCGTAACTACTAAACCAATTGCTTTGATTTTTTTCAGACATAAAGTTAGAAGTCCGGCTTAAATAATAGGGTACTTTTTATCCCGGAAAAAATTGATGAAAAAAACAAAAGTATTGGTATAGATGGCGCTTTTTATCCTTTTGTGATGCGAGCGAAGCCGCGGGTAAAAACTAGTTTGAAATATTTGTGTTTATAAGTGCATTCCGTAATGGCGCATCTCATTTTGAATACGACTTTTAAGATTTAAGTTGTCATGACGGAAATTAAAACTGGACAAGCTCATTAACGCTTTCACTCCGATGTTTCCCTTGCATTCAAACATTTACTGTTCAGTGCGAATCCTATAGCGAAAGTGAAAGTAATTATTTAATAAATAAATATGAAATGATTAAGTTATAATACGTAATACCATTTCCCCAAAAACACGAATTTCTAATATCCAAATAAACTATCGTTACGAATAAATTATGTAGAATATATAATAAAAAGTTATGAAAGTTGCGCAACGTGACGCGACATAAGTTGCACATAATGACTATTTTAGCACACATTATAGAAAGTCTCATTCATTTTATTTTACGCGAAGCGGTGACAATATGGCGCGCGAACAGAGAAATTATGTGATGTTGAGGTAAGAACACCCACAAAACTAAATTAGAAATTATGACACTGAAAAGTAAAAACGAAATATTTGAAAAGTAAAGGCTTGCAGTTGAATACTAAGATCAATTTTATGAATAAATTATATTATAGTTTTGACGTTTTCATTAACTTTTGTGCAGTTAGTCCTAAACACGAACTAGATTACATTTTGAGTTAATAACAATGCGCAATTTTGAATTCAAGGACTACAAAGGTCCGCCTCCTGTTAACTATAATGGCTACATTTGCGACATGTATGTTTCACAATGGAGCACTCAACAATCCCAGGAGATGGCAAGGTACCGTGACGCAAACCACTCACTTACAAAATCTTGATGCATTCAAACAATGGAATGGGAAGTCCTACTGTGTGTGGACGAATTTCGCAACATTCTGAACAACTGCAGTAATAACCGTGTAGACTTCTGTCGCATCCGCTGTTTTACAGATAAGCCTGCGCATAGTTTCAGTCATAATGGCGACGAACACACACAAACATTCATAAACTGCCTCTACTAGATAACTTTAACTACTTCAACGTGAAAAAGAAATCTAGAGAATGTTAACATTACTTGTGTCATATCCGTGTGACCGCGTCTAATGTAACCGACATAATTACGTTTTCATCAAGATAACAATTTTCTCATACGATGAACAGGACCAAACTTGTTCTTACATATAGTAATTTAAATGTTATACTCTTTACACCTAACCTCGGATAATATCGTCAAGGGTTTAATTTCAAGTAATCAGTTACAATCTTAATGGTTCAAATTATGCATTTATATTACGATCATAATTATTTTGGAAAGTTTTTGTCAGACTTGGTTTCTTACCAATTAAAAAATTCATAATTTCATAATTAGGAGTTCAATCTCACATAATATATAATTTACCACATATTCACACACATAAGACTATTCCAAACATATTAGACATTAGTAATGAACGGAAAAGAGGAACCCCGCGGGTATGAGAAGTATAAAATGCGAGCTGTGTGACGCATGGCCTACTTTCCACACACCGGCTTCACCACATGTCGCCGTACCACGTAGCTCTTAACATGTTTATAATAAAGAATAATATACGATGAACAATAAAAGTACTTTAAAAAAACGTCAGCTGCGTACAGAAAAATTGTTGAACACAACACATGCAAATTAAATGTGTTCAAATATTCGCGATATGCGAAGAGATTATTTCGACAAGTGCGAGTGAAAGTAATAATTATGCAACTTTCTACAACTGAATAATACTGTACAGAGATAACAAAAAATATACGCATTATTTAGCGTATTGTAAGCGTAGCGCCGGTTACGGCGTAGCATTGAGCGTTACGACGACGTAGCAAGCATGTGCGGCTGTCTAAAGCTCACGCACTATCGGCTGCATTTATTTATTTGTGTATCTGTTTCTTTTCTCTCAAATGTTTTGGAAAATAATTATAGCAATAACTATGTTGATAAAATCACTACTAAGTATGTAAATTCTATCATAGCAAATAAAAATTGAGTAGTAATCATAATAAAACAAGAATACTCTTTTCATTCAAAGAGAATGTCACTGAAGAAACGGATCCAGTAGATGTATCCACTCATGTACAATTTTGTCTGATCACTTGCACACAATTTTCAAACACATTTTCCGTAGTCCCAAACTAGCAAACACAAAATCCTGTACCTTTTCAGGTGAGCGCTAATTGAAGTTCCAGATGGAAGAAACAGTTTCAGGATAACACAGGCAGCTACCAATCACTGTTCCAGACTTCCAGAGTTCACAATCACTGTCACAGTCTGGGGGGGTTCACTTTCGTTTTCGCGGCGCGTGTGTGTTGCGCGCGCGCTCGTGTCTCGTGCCCTGCTCGAGTACTCGTACTGCTCGCGCCGGCCGCACCACAAGCCGTTTTATACGCGTGAAAGTTCCGCGCCTGCGCAAACCACACTATCCCGGATCGGAACAATCTGACGTCCATTTAGATTTTGAAATCCTTTGATGACGACATCGATGTCATTACGGCCGTGATGACTGCGCCTTAGTTATGAAACCGCTCCTTTTTGGTGAGGTCGGATGTGTGATGAAGTCATTTCAGTAATTGAAAAGGATGTTCTGAATTATGGTCGCCATAAATGGCAGCAAATAACAAAATAATTTTTATCACTCATCCCCAAGTTCTTGAGGTCGTATGAAGTTTAAAATATATTTTAAGTGAGATTCTTTAAACCACAATTTTCTTTTGGATCTTCAAGCTATGATAAGAATTTCAAAAAAATCAGCATCAATTCAATTGAACACAATCATTGTTTATTTGGATGTGGTTAATTTTATCCACCAATAAAGTGTTGACTTGCGAATTACGTCGAAAACTTTTATAACATTTACAGTTTATAATTGATGACTTTCTGGTAAAAAACTTTAACTGTTTTATATAATTATTAATGATAATTGGTAGAATAATTATTACAGCTGCTATGACTAAAAGTGCTTAAATTTCTTTTAGATCTTGATTACCAGCTGCTATAGCTGCTCCTACTCCTGTTTCAGCTTTAGTTCATTCTTCTACTTTAGTAACACTTAAAGTGAACTTACCAAAATGATATTCATTCATAGTATGAATTTTACACTTTACTAAATGTATACTTTAGAAGATATCTATATATCTTTTAAGCAATTAATAGCGTAATTATATTATTCATATCAATACAAAAACAAATACCTACAACCGTGTCAAATAGATACCACCACACAAAACGATCAAATAAACATTACCTTCATTTGCATTTGTCGTTTATTTTGGTCAGTTTCTTTGCTATCATCTCGCGCTATGAATAAAGCTATTAAAGTAATATCGTTTTAATACTCAACAAAAACTATTAACCATGAAATATAAATTGAAAATCCACCAGAAAGCGAATAAAACATGAAATAAAATCTAAATCGTAGCACCGAACAAAAGACTTCAACGCGTAATAATTCCAAATGATAAACCAATTTATGAAATTATTTTGAAACTGAATGTACGTGAATATTGGAGTAACTATTAAGAACTGTGTGTATTTCTTTTTTCTTGTTGTTTCGATTTTTAGATTATGCAATTTTGTATATTTTATTATATTTTATAACTGAAAACATTGTGATTATTTAAAAACTTTTACTTATTTGAAAGGCTACGTGAAAATACACAGATTGAAAAAGTCATTCAGTTTTTTATTGTTATTACTGTGTATATACTAGAGATATATATAGATAGATTTTAAGATAATTTCATGGATTTATAAATGAAATTTGAAATGCTGTGTTACTGTTTATCAATACATAGTATAAAACAAAGTCGCTTTCGCTGTATGTCCGTATGTATGCTTAGATCTTTAAAACTACGCAACGGATTTTGATGCGGTTTTTTTTATAGATAGAGTGATTCTTAAGGAAGGTTTGTATGTATATACATATTGCACCCGTACGAAGCAGGGCGGGTCGCTAGTAATGCATAAATAAAGAAATGCATAAGCTGTTTCATTGGCCGAGTGACTGCCCCATTGGCCGAGTGGTCGCAAGTGCGACTGCCAGGCAAGGGGTGTCGGGTTCAATTCCCGGGTCCGGCAGCGTATTACTGGGTTTTTCAAAAAAATACAGTAATAGCACGGAGGCTGGAATTGTGCCCGGTATATGGCAATAGGCTCACCCCCTATTACATGGGACTCATAACATAAATAGTGAAAAGAGGATGTTACATTGTACAGTAACATAATGTACACTTCTGCCTACCCCTTCGGGGATAAAAGGCGTGATGTTATATATATTTTTTTTTTTTTTTTTTTTTTTATTTATTTAGAGGCTTTTCCCTTACAAAGGTATGTCAGCCTCATCATACCCTAATCTAACTTAACTAACTACATTTAATTATAATTATACACTTATTGCTAATTTACTTTACTTATTCCTGTGTAAGCGAGGGGGATAGTGCTGCACCAACCATTTCATAAATAAGCTCCGCTTCTTTTGAACTTGGTACAGATAATATTTTAACGAAAGCCCCGACATCATATCTTCTAACCTTTAGTTCTTGCATCACTATCTCTCTTTCTTTGCTGTTTTTTTGGCATTCCATAAGCAAATGTTGGACGTCATCAACTTTATTACACACTTGGCAATTAGGTGAATCGACTTTTTTCATTAAGTGTCCAAACTTCCTGGATGGAAAATGACCAGAACGCAGTCTATGTGCCATGACAACATATGCCCTCTTTGTGCGACACTCAGCAAACCATGGGATTCGAGGAGGCTCACTTTGCATAGTCTTATACCATATGCCTTTTTCTCTTGATTTTCTGTCGAAATATTCTTTAAAATTATTGTAACATATATTCTTGTATAAGCCTATAATTTCTGTGTAGAACGGAGCGATGTTAAGTTCTACACCTTCCAAAATAGCTTTCTTTGCAAATATGTCAGCCTTTTCGTTTCCCTGTATGCCAATATGAGATGGGATCCATTGCAACCTCAAATTACTGTCACCAAGTTCGTAAAATTGTCTGAGCACTACATAAGCTATCGGTAGACCTCTGCAACCAGAGGCACATCGAGCTAAATGCATTAAACCACTTTTGCTGTCCGTGCATATAACGATGTTTTGATTTGTATTATCCCAACAAATTATGTTTTCTAGCGTCTTTGAGATTGCAACGAGTTCCATCGTCATTATAGATAAGTTTATATCGGTAGATTTAAACAAGGCCGAAGTTTCATCACTCAAACTATAATAGGCAGCACCACATCCACTTTTATTCTTAGACCCATCAGTAAAGTACATTTTCCATCCCGGGTACTTTTCACCAAGTTCTTTGATGACCTCGAATTTAAGAGATGTAACCTCATGGCTCCGTTTTGCTAACTTAACACTGTCCAACTTCCAATTAATCCTATCTCGCACGTTTATACCGGTCGCCCATTTCTGCAATGAGTACATGTCTAAAATACTAGAACAATGTATATTAACAAGTTGACATTCATTGTATACTATCACGAGTAGCGGTTTTTTCTTATTGTTCCAGTATCTTGCGACTGAAATATTATTTAAATTATCTATTAATTTAATAGTTACATTGTTCGCATGTGACATACTTTTTATACAGAACTTGTAAGCCAAATATAATCTCCTAATATACAAAGGAGGAATGCACATTTCCGCTTCCATTACATGTACTGCAGCCCGATTCACGTAATAAAAACCGTAGCGATATCGTAGCGACTTAATCGTTTACGTCCTTTTCGTATTCACATACATCAGTCGAGTTCGATCGACACCGATTTTGAAGTCGTTCGATCGAAGTGTCGTTGAAGCGTATTCAGCTGTGTAAATCGTCTTTCAATCGTTAATATGGTGGTATTCACGTAAACAAACGATGTTGGAATGGGTCGGCTATCAACGACTAAACTTCAAATCTGACGGTTGAAATGTCGTTGAAGTGTCGCTGAACAGAAGTACGTTTGTTTTGACTTCATTGTAACTAAGCTATTAATTTAATTTTATACGGACGAATTTTGGGGATTTTCGGTACAAAAACTCCAGTGATTAAAAAAAAAATGAGTCTCGGGCTCGGCCTGTTATTATTAGATGCAGCTGAAAGAGAAGATAGACGAATGGAGCGAGTAAGGAGAAACAGACTGAGGTGTTCTAGATGGGATGCCTTTGAAATGCCAGACAGAGATTTTATAAAGACATTTCGCCTTTCTAAGATCCTTGTCCACGATCTTATTGAGGATATTACACCTCTAATAGAGAGAAATCGAAGGCAAGATGGTTTATCAGTGAAAGATAAGGTTTGTCTCAACTTATGTGCTTTTTACACTTAAATTTTATCTCATTACATTTATCTGCTTAGAATCTAATTTTGTTTTTTCAGTTACTGCTCGCCCTATCATTTTTCGCATCTGGTTCCTATCAGACTCTTGTTGGCCAGAGTGCATATAGTAATGTTTCTCAACCTACGGTCTCAAGAGCAATTAAACAGGTGACGCATGCTCTCAATTCACCCAGGGTTTTTCGAAAGCATGTAGTTTTCCCAATCACAAGGACACACAGAGAAAGAATAAAACGAAGGTAACCTACCTATAACCTTCTTTACTAATGCCATTAAGTGTAGTAATTGTACTGAATTAATTTGATATTTCTTACAGCTTTTATGACAAATACCAAATGCCGGGGGTTATTGGTTGCATAGACGGGACTCATGTTGCAATTTTGAGACCCACTGAGCACGAAGAAAGATATTTTAACCGAAAGGGATATCATTCGCTAAATGTCATGATAGTAAGATTTTATTTATCTATATATGTAGTTACTATATTCCTGCGAAATAACGAAATCCAGACAACAAGTATATAATAAAAAAAATCAATCACAAATTACTTGTTTTTAGAGTTACAATGATATCCATCTATAGTGACTATTTGCCCCCCAAGGGAGAAATCATAATGTAGATTTTTGCTCACCACTAATTTAAAAAAATCTATAGTAACTATGCCTACTACCTGTGTATCTATTTATATATATTATTTCAGATTTGTGACATGGATTTAAATATTTTATGTGTGGATCCAAGTCACCCTGGATCAACTCACGATTCCACAGTGTGGGGCGATCATCCATTAAATGAATGGATGAAAGAAAAATACAATGAAGAGACAATGTATTTCCTAGGTAAATATAAAATATACCTATTAAGAAATATTTGTTTTCTTTACTTGTTACCTACATAATTATATATAATTATTGTTTTTTACAGGTGACAGTGGATACCCATTGCGAAAAACTGTAATGACTCCCTACTTAAATGCACCTGAAGGTTCTGCTGAAGCCAACTACAACACTAAGCAGGTTTCAGCCAGAAATGTAGTTGAGCGATGTATAGGTGTATTAAAGGCTCGCTTTAGGTAACTATAATTTTATTTTCTAAAGAATAATAATCTTATTAGTCTAATAATTGATTGAAAATGGGTTTGTTTATTTAATAGTCTTAATTATATTCCTTGAGTTTGTCACTTACTCATAACTTTTTTTTGTCAGATGTTTGCTAGCTGCTCGTAAACTCCACTACAGCCCAGTTGTTGCTGGTAAAATAGTTAACGCATGCGTAGTGCTCCACAATATAACCAACAAAGCCAGGATTGCAGTTCCAGAATTATGTGGAGAAGACCAAATAGAAGAATTACAGCGCCAAATCAACCATAGTGTTGCGGAACAAGAATTTAGGACTACTAATACATTAAATCAAAATGTTGCTGAACACAGTCGCCTTTCTAATATAGAACTTCAACAGGGAAGGATGGCTCAACAAGCTCTTATTCAAAGATTGTGGATAGAGTCAAATAATAGTTAATACTTATTTATCTAAATTATACTGGTATTATACTGATTTCAGTTATCTAAATTTTGAGTTTGGCGGTGAAATTTTGAGGTTGAGTTGGACGGTGGCTTTATATTTAATAAAAAAAGCTTATTAGTCTAATTATAAATATAATGTAATCAGTGTAATTAACAATTATGATACTTATTAAATAAAACAGTAGTGTCATTTTGTTTTAAAATACAAAACTGTGGTCATCGTCATCACTGCTCTGAGATCGAGCCCGTTTGTATTCTCTAGTTTCTTGTGTGTCGTCACATTTTCTTTTCTGTAAAGATTCAAAAATGTTTAATTTGCATTAAATATTAATATTATGTTTATAACTGTGTCTTATTTTTAATCCATCATCATCTTAGCGTTAATCTACACTTCGATATTATTCATCGCGGTCAAAGGCGATGCCGAAGCAATGCAGCTAGACCAATTGTCGGACTGCTCCAACAACCCGAATTTTTATTATCACAATGTAATTTTTGTTTACTTACATTTCCCTCTTGGCCACCCTTGAAAATATTAACTAAGGCCCAAGCTGCACTGGCCAAATTATTTATGGCGTTAACCTTGTTCTTTTCAATTTCATTTCGCTCAAGCTGGACCTGTATTTGTGACTTGTTTAATTCTAGTCGAGCTTTTTCTAAATTGGCTAAAACAGTTTTCGCCTTTTCTACTTCTGTATCTGAAAGTAATATTACAATGTTTTTAACAAATCATATTATTTGAATTTGTTTATACATCAATAAACAAGGTGTATCTGTACCTTTAGGGTCCCTCCCAGATATTCTCTGGCTTTTACCCTTTTTTATATTATTGCGGAAACTCCTATTACTATTTAATGTTTCAGTTCTGGAAAAATAAATTGCGTTAAATTAACACAATAGTACCTAGTTCAATATTTTATTATTAATAATTATATTAAGATTGTGTAACTTACTTAGCTTTGTCTACAGGCACATTAAAACTTGAAGAAGTTGATGGCTGGATGTCATCAATTGTAGTATTCTCATTCCTAAAAAATCAAAGTGTTAGAATTTATTTTTATGTTCTGAAGATATGTATTATGTTGAATAAATTATTTCTTAATAAGTAGGTAGTTCAATATTTTAATTATTAACTATATTATGTACAACTTAAAATACTTACTCAACTCTTAATGGAGTCTCACTGTCCATAATTTCTAAAGTCTCCACATCAAAATTAATGTGAGAATCTCCTGTAATATTTGTGTGATCTCTGCAACAAAATAATTAATACACAGGTAAGAAAAATTACATTATCATGAGTCAGGTGAGCTTATTTTTTGCTCATTATTGCTTAGAGGTAGATAGATACTCACAATGGAATAATTATATCCTCAGTTTCTGAGGTGGGTATGGGATTTTGTCGGACTGGAAGGCCGTCAAATTTGTTCCCTAATATGGAACAAAGTCTTTCTTCCAGTTCCGATAACGGCTGAGCTTCTGAAGGTCCACCACCTGTTTTCCTTTGGTTTTGTCCGATTTTACGAAATTTGTTTTTTATTCGACATTTATAGTCATTATAAAACTGAGAACAAAACCAACATATTATTTCAATGGTATGGTATTTCGCGTTAATTACATGCTATGCAAGAAGTGTACTTACTTTATTCCATTCTTTCGCTGACCTGTACATGGAAGGGTCTGCTGTTTCGCTGTTCAATATTGCCGCTAGCTCGGTCCACAATTTAGTGGACAAAATATGCCCTTCTTTGCCTCGGACCCGTCCCAGTGCCAACATTCTATGTTTCTCCATAAAATCTACCAAGAGTTCTAGCTGCCTTACAGAAACTTGCTTCATTTTAATTTTATTTTAATTTTTTCAAACTTTGCCGGTGCTGTGATAGACAGTTATTTGACAAGTAATGCAGAGACAAATTATAGACTTTCCTTTTTAAACCGTGGTTTAGTGTTGAAATTATATTTTACTAAACAATTTACAAAAAATGTTTATTAATATTGTTTTTAATTCCATTTATTTTATTGTTATGACGTAAATCAGATTTTTTTAAACTTAAATCTGTATTTTAATATTCTGGTAGAATACATAATTGTTTAACTGGCAATGAAACGTTGATGAATCGTTTAGTTGTCGTTTAGTTTCGAGTCAGTTTAATTGTCGTCCTATCCAACCCCGATTATAGAACACGTGAATACCGATTTCGGATAGGACTTCGATCGAACTATGATCGAGCGACTATAAAACTTCAACTGTTTGATTTTACGTGAATCAGGCTACTGGAGAGCTTTTTATAAAACCACCTATAGTCCTCAAAAACTGGTTCTGAATTTTATCGAGTCTGCCCAAATGGCTCTTCGCACTATTATCGTAGAGAAAGCATCCGAAGTCAATCCTACTGCGTACCAATGAAATATACAAAGATCTTAAATGTTTCGGATGTATACCCCAAGTCGACCCCGCCAAGATTTTAAACAGACTTAAAAACTTTGCAGTCTTTTCCTGTATTTCGTTAATATGTCTTTTCCATAGAAGTGACCGATCTAACCAGATACCTAAGTGTTTCACACAATCTACTGAGAAAACTGGCAAGTTGCTAATTGTAAGTCTTATCTGTCGTCTTCTTCTACCTCTACTAAAAAGACACGTCTTTGATTTGTCTGGTGACAACTCTAGACCCATGTCCTCGAGTATCGCGCTCATGGAGTTAAGAGCAACTTGCATTTCCGATTCCGCGAGATTTAGATCTTTATGTCCCAAGTAAAATACAAAGTCATCGGCGTACTGTGAGACGATTACATTCTGGATCTGTTGGCAAATTGTTGATGTAATAATATTAAAAAGCATCGGTGATAATGGGTCGCCCTGCGCCAAGCCTCTGCTTGCTCGTCTTACATCAATAGTTCTTCCATCACTACCATTTGTTATAAAAAGATATCGCTCTGATAGAAATGAGTTTAAATAACTACATATTATTGAGCCAATTCCTAAATCATCCAATTTCTCAACAACCTTTTCCACTAAGACATTGTTGTAAGCATTTGTAATGTCCAAAAAGCAAGCTAATGTAGGTTCATTTTTAGTGAACCCCACCTGAACGTAAGTAGATAATCTTGAGATGCAATCTAAGCAAGATTGAGCTCTTCTAAATCCAACTGTGTAAGGTGACAAAATTAAATTCTTCTCAATATACCATTCTATTCTCTTTCCGATCATATTGTGGAATATCTTGCAGACACAAGATATCAGAGATATTGGTCTAAGTTTAGTCTCCGTATTCCGGTCACACCCACCTTTAGGAATAGCAATAACTGATATCACGCGCCATTGTTTTGGAATATCTCCAGTTCTATAAATTCTATTATACATCCTGAGAAGAAATTCTTTGGCTTCGCCTGGAAGATTATATATCATAGAGTATGTTATACCATCATTACCCGGAGCAGTGTCTTTCTTTTTTAAACTATTCTCTAGTTCTTCTGTCGTAAATATTGACTCCATTAAAGCGTTATGTGATTTAAATATTGGTGGTAAATTTATCACAGAATCAGGTGTAAGTGAATGTAATAAAACCTTTAATTTTTCTTCCGACACAATAAATTTAGCTTGACGATAACCTTTAATCCATCCCATCTTGCGCCACATATCAGAAACTGAAGAAGTTTCACCTATACTACTGCAGAATTTTTTCCAGCTGCCTTCAACAGCTTTCTTTATTAAACTGCCTGCATTTGCTACTTTTTCTTCTAATTTTGTAAGATTGTCTGGAGTAGGATTTCTTCTGAATTTGGCCAAAGCTAACCTACGTTCTGCTACTGCTTTGGATAATGATGGATCCCAATACTCTTTTGGTTTAAAATTCCTTAAGGGACTAGTACAAATTTTGGTTATAGGTATGTGTTTGTTGGCTGCCCTATCTACCTGTCCTAAGAAATAGTCGTATAATACCTGAATGTCATTGTTGACTTCAATTGCCTCAGAAAAAGATCCTGTAAGCTCATGACGATATGCCTCCCATTTAGCTTTTTTAAAGTTTCGTTTTTTCTTATATTCTATGTGTTCTTGATAGTTCATCGAAATTTTCATTACGAGGTGGTCACTACCTAAATTTTCATTAATTACAGCCCAGTGAAATTTAATAGCAATGTCAGATGACACTAATGTTATGTCCGGTGATGATCTTTGTACATTTCCATTGACAAGCTTAACTCGGGTTGCCTCTCCACTATTTAAGGTTACAAAGCCATGTTCCAAGGATGAGTCTAGTACTTGTGTTCCACGCTGATCCGTTTTATAAGACCAGTTCGTGTGGTGACCGTTAAAATCACCTGCAACTAACGATTTTTTTGGCACTAGCGAAAAAACATTATCCCAATCGGACTGTGTTGTACGGATTGAAGATGGACAGTAAA